TCTATCCCAGCACCCACAATCACATGGCTCACAAGGGTCTCTATCTCCAGTTTCAGAACATCTGATGTCCAATTCTTGCCTTTGTGGGTACTGCACAAATGTGTTATACATACAGACAAGCAGGCACATACACATAAGGAATAAATTAATTTAAAAAAACCCAGAAATTGGAGTTGAAAAATTAAATATAACTATAGCAAAATAAAAGGAAGCCAGGAAGGCAGTGACGCCTAATCCCAGAACTCAGGAGGCAGAAATAGGTGGATCTGTGAGTTCAAGGCTAACGAGGTCTACAAAGCAAGTTCCAGGATAGCCAGAACTGTTTCAATAAACGAAAGCAAAATGAAAATCAACTGTCCTACATCACACAAAGACGACTTTCACTGGGCAGGCTGGGCACCTGGACTGAGAGCAATGCAGAAAAGGTCATGCCAACAAATGATACTGGAACATGCAAAGCAGTGAACTTAGATATAAATTTGCTCTTCACAAAAATAAATGGAAAACAAGACCTACAAAACTCCTAGAAAATATCAGGGGGAAAACCTGATAGGTGATCTCAGGTTTAGCTAATGACATGTTAGATCCAAAAAGCATGAGCCAGCTAGGGAGACGGCTTAATGGGCAAAGTGCTTGTTATGCAAGCATGAGAACCCAACTTCAGATCCTTAGTATCATGTAGAACTAGGCACATGGGCATATGTCTGTTTCCCAGTGTGAAGAGGTGGAAACAGAAGAATCTTGGCAGGGGACGGGGACCTCTCTGGCTAGCAGCCTAGCCAATCTGTGAGCTCCAGGTTCAGTTAGTGTAGCAAAGATAACTGAGGGAAGAAAACTGAGGGAAACACCACCAACATCAACTAGGTAGACTTCATTAAAGTTTAAAACTTCTGTTTTGTAAGCCTCCAATAATGGTCCATTCCTTTAATCCCAGCACTTAGGGAGGCAGAGGCAGGTGGATCTCAGTGAGTTCAAGGCCAGCCTGGTCTACAAGCAGAGCTACATAGTGAGACCCTGTCTTAAAAACCCAAACTCCCACAAAAAAACAAAAACAAAAATTACCTGCTTTGAGAAAAAGGAAAAAAAAAAAAAAAACTATCGAGAAAAGGAAGGAGAAACCACAGACTAGCAGAAAATACATGAAAACACCTATTTGAAAAAGGACTGATATGAAAATATAAACATGACTCTTGAAACTCAATATTAAACAAACTTTTTTTTTTTTTTTTTTTTTTTGGATTTTCAAGACAGGGTTTCTCTGTGGCTTTGGAGGCTGTCCTAGAACTAGCTCTTGTAGACCAACCAGGCTGGTCTCACATAGATCCGCCTGCCTCTGCCTCCCGAGTGCTGGGATTAAAGGCGTGCACCACCAACGCCTGGCAACAAACAACATTTTTAAATAGACTAAAGAAGCTGAGTATGGTAGCACACACTTAGAATCCCAGCACGTGGGAATGCTGGGCAGAAGGACAGTGTGTTTGAGGATGACCCAGGCTACAAATCAAGTTTCAGGTCAGCCGAGGCTACACAGCAAGGTCCTGTCTCAAAAAAAACATATACACAAACAAATGAAGAAACTTCTTGGTTAGATACTCACAAAATAAAACACTATGATCCTATGCCACTATAGAGTTATCAATTAAACAGTAACCTATTACTATACATCCACTGAAATGGCCAAACAAATGCTTGTGAGAAGCAACAGGGAATCTCAATTCACTGCTAGTGAAAAAGCAAAATGGTGTAAACACTTTGGAAACCACTTTAGCTATTTCTGAAAATTTAGCATATACTCATCACAGCAACCTTGCCAACAGAACTTTGTCCACATAAAAATATGTACATGGGTATTTATAAGCTTCAGTAATAACTGCTCAGATTTGGAAGAGAGCAATATGCAGGCTCTGGTTAGTTTTCATCACTTAACACAAATCTACCTGTATCTGGGAAGAGAATTCCAATTGAGGAACTGCCTCCGTTGTATTATCCTGTGGGTATGTCTTTGGAGTCTTTCCTTCATGAATGATTATGTGGAAGGACCTGGACTACTGTGGGTGGTGACCCCCGGGCAGGTGGTCCTGTCCCATGGAGAACAAGACAATAAGCAGCTAATCCTCCATGTTCTCTGCCCCAGTTCCTGCTGGAATATCTACCTTGACTGCTCTTCATGCTGGATCATAAGCTATAATATGAAATAAGCCGTTTCTTCCCTGAGTTGCTTTTGGCATGGTGATTATCACAGCAGCAGAAAGCAAACTAAAACAGAAAATTGGTACCAGGATCATTGGGCATTGCTGTGACAGACCTGGTCATGTTGATTTGGAAGGCTTATAGAAGTGCTTGGACCTCCAGGCAGGAAAAGCCATTGAGTGGTCAAAGTTTAATGGGCTATAAGTTTGGAAGATTGTTGGAAGAAATGCCTGGTTAATGAAGTTTCAGAGAGAAGCAGACTCTGTCAGGGATATGATGCAAATATTTTAAAATAAAGAATATGTAGTTTCTGGTCAGCTAAAGAATCAGCTGTGATCAACAAGAGACTGGCACTATCGAATGTCATGAACTCTTGGCTTTCCTGGGACAATTACTAGGGCTGAAAGATCGATGTGATTAATAAGAAACTAGTATCATTGAGGTAAAATCTTCAAAGTTTCTGAAGAGTTGGCATATAGAAGCT